GTTTCATATATTTATAAACACACTCTGTTCTGTAGACTTCAGCACCGAGCTGAAATATCCATTAGTTAATTTTACCAGTACGTGGAAACAAAAAAATTAAAATAAACACCCAGTAAAACAAAAGCATGATCAGTTTAAACACAAACAGGGGAAAAAAAAAAAAAGATACTTAACAGACTTAGTATGTGGTTTAACACAGAGCAGAGTTTAACAGATAGAAAAATAGAAAACCAGACCTCACAGCATTGGTTTAACACCAGTAACAGCTAGATACTACCTCTATCCAGGAACAAAAATCAGTCTACTCACTCTCGTGGTATCACACTTGCTTTCTTCTCCTGCCCCGATTATAATTTCCTTGGTCTAAACATTCTTCCTAGTCTTAAGATTTAAATTATTTACTCTAGCAATATTAAATCTTAATAAATCTCAAATTGTTCTTTCACAGACAGATAGCAACAGGAACATCATAAAGAAGTTACAAGAAGATAACGCCATCTCCACACCACATCATGGCTCAAATATATGAATCCTTCTTAAACCATATTTTTATGCACGGGCTAATGGAATGTACATAAAATGCCATAAAAATCACATTTTATGTACATCCCCATGATCTTCTAAATACCTAAGAACACTGGCATTTTTTCAGGGATTACATATTGTTTACATGGACTTTGCAATTTGCCATTCTTTCAGTGAAGAGCATTGTAGCTAAGCATGTTTAAAATTTACACAAGTTTATTTCTTATCCTAGTATTTTTAACTTAAATTTGGATCACGTGACTAAAACTACAGAGATCAGTAAGCATTCAGCAACAAAGTGGTATCCAAAAAGAGCTTAATTTTTAAAAGAACAAATGAGACTACAGGTTGCATCATTTAAAAGGTTACAGGTAATACACCAACCTTTCAAAAAAAAGTAAAAGTGAGGTGCAATTTATGCGGAAAGAGGAGCAAAAATGACAAAGAGCCATGTGCAACGGTAAGAATAAATGTTGTTTGGCTCAGGTGTAGGTATGCTAAGCCACTATCATCTTGACTTCAAACTTTGTTACTATTAAAGTCTTTAAAATGAGTTGCAGGTCTGCAGAGACAAAATAAATACAATTATTTTACAGTACTTCCCATTCCAAAACTTTCTTATTTCATAGCACAACCTGTATTATTCAGTCACTTAATTCCAATGCAGTTCTGCTTAGCCAATTGCGTGAAAACATACTTTTACATCAGAAAAGACTTGAACATGTAAAAATTAAGTCAATAGTAACATCCGATATTTTAGTAAGTAATACATTAGTGTTAAATGACTTCTATTTAGGTCATCTGGTGAAAGCAGCCGCTTTATATTCCTAGTTCCACTGGAAAGCAAAAGTGCAATAAGATTGCTTATTGACAGCTGCATTCAAAAACATACCAGTTACATAAGTTTGCAAATTATACTGTGCCAGAGTTAAATATCTAAGCATTTTAACGACAGTTCTTAAAATGCTATCTCAGCAAGAATGACTCAACCTCACTGCATAAGCTGCACTCCAGATAAGAAGCAACTAGCTTGATTTCATAGAAAAAAACTTTTTTGTCTTCTGCTTTAATTCAAATTGCACTAAGTGAGTTCTGCTTGTTTAGACCTGCAAGCTTCACCAGTCATTTGGCATTTCCACCTCTCCTCCTCGGTTTCAACAAAAGCATCTCAAGCTTACCTATAGACAGTTAAGTAAATACTTGGAAAACAGGTATAGTTTTCTGCTGTACCTCAAGGGAAGAGATTTACCCGACAACCACCAACCAAAGGACTAAACATATTAACCAGAACTAGGCCTTGTCTGTATATGAGAAAAACATGGCTATGCCAGAAGCGTGTGAGAGTACAGACCAGCTCTCTCCAGTACAAGCTATGTTTATCAGAGGGTTTTATCAGATATCTGTGTCTGTGAGGAAAACTAATAACTGGCATGATGCATCAGCAAGTCTTTTACTTCCAGCCCAGTCTCATATACAAAAGGTAGACCCAGAACGGCCTGGAAGGGAAAGCTTTCCGAGCAGCTGTCCCTACCCCAGTGAAAAACACTGGTACACCTATCAAATTTGTTCTCCTTCAACGCCTTTCCTTTTGATTGCTACTTTGACTGGACAGGTAAAACATAAAGCTTCCCCAACCCATGGGTTTTGTCCCCCATCCCCTGTCTCTGATTTTATTCATAGAGAAACTATGAATAGTAACAGAAGGGAAGCTATCAGGGAAGAAACGTGGGTAGAACTTGCACAATTCTTGGTCATTTGGCAATTCACACAGGGTCCTGAGTAACAGCAGCTGTCTTGCTTCAATTTCACTAGTCCTTCACAAATCCTGCTTCAGCCACCTAACCACTAAAGCAGGTATAGGCTCAGGAAAGTGCTACACGGGCTCATATTTGGAAAGTCATTTCCTAGAATCACAAGAGTTAGAACTTCCACTCTATAAAATGATTCTACTTACTCTGATGCTAAACATCACAACCTAAGGGAAGTGTTCTGCCAACTGCTCTCAGGATGTCTAAGTGCCTTCTGCTTAAAAAAATAAAAATTAAAAATTCCTCTGTATGACATACAGGACCTTAAACCTTGAGGCTACCACACAGGCCCCCTGAATGACCAGCACTTTCTCATTTGACAATAGGTACAACTCAAAAAAAAATTAGTTCCCCACAAGTACTACCATAAACTTAAACGTTAGTTTTGCAACCACAAAATTCTGCCATACACACGGCCACACTGAAATATTTTCATTGTACTAAATAAATACAATTACATAACAAACAGATGTCTACAAAATCAATTCTTCTGAAACTATTAACCTGCAGCCAGTCTTAAAGCTGTATCATATCTATTATAATACAGGCTAATGTAATAAAAAGGTCAGACATATGCTCAGAAGCCCTGGCATTTAACATGCAAGCAATTATCCAGTACATCATCAGACAACTTTTTAACCGAGAAGAGCGTTTTCTTCTATCTACTTTTAACATGCACGCTGTGACAGATCACAGATCACCAGCGTAACCTTTGCTCACGACACTGTTTTCAAAGGCAGCGAAATCCCTCTCAAACTTTAAACGCCTGAAAGGCGTTGGCAAGGGAAAACCGCCCGCTGCATAATAATGTCACTATTTGGGGAGTGCTTGATGCTCCGACCCTCGCTAGGGTGGGGTGCTTTATAAATAGATGCGTGCTTTTTTTTTTTTTTTTCTTTCCCAGTGCCGTGCCCCAAGCGTTTGGGTGGCGATGGGAGAGGAGGCTGTTTATAGCCATTATTAAATGAACTCTGAATCGGCCGAGAAAAGGAGGGGGGGAAGGCGGGGGGGGGAGAAAAGGAAAGCTGCTGCTACCTGAGCCAGGCCCAAATCCCTCTGCCCACCC